GCATTAGTGTAGATAATTTTAATAAATATCAAAGAACGTGACCAACTGTAAAAGTCCCTATTTTTCAACCGATATCAAAAGTACGAAACTGACGACAGAAACTCCCCCTGTTTTCGCTGCGACTAAAACATGCGCGTGAACAAGATCTGGCATCGAGCACAAAGCGATCGATTTGACGTGTAATGACCCGTGAGGGTCGTTTAAGTACCAGTGTCTCTTAAACGTCCAGCGGGAATCATGCATCAGGCTGACGAATGCGGTTCATTTCTATGTAATGGCGGGAATTTGCATGGTAGCTGTGCACCGTTCCATGAGGAAACTATAAAATATCGTTGAATAATTTAGTCCGATTTGCAGCGTTGTCGGCGACGTTTCCGAGATTGTCGAGCGCGGTTAAAGCAGTCTCCCGTGCTGCAAATTACCGAGTCTCGTAATTTGCTCGCAACTGAAGGATCACGCGTTATGCGGTCAACCTATTTGCGCGCGAAACTTCTATACGAACGGACTTCGGACGAAGTCGATGCTCGAACAGCCATGGACTGATAGCTGCGACATAGTTTACATGGTGGAATTGGTCGCGACTATGAAAGGAATTTATTTGTTTCCAGAAATTATGAAGGTGTTACGTATTCTTACATATATCTTTATTGATTTATTTCGTATAAAATACATAAAAATAATTTACACAAATGATTAGGTAAGAAATTTCTTACATCTTAATTAATCATTTCTTACATTTCGTACCGCCCTGTTCATTTCTGGTTTATAATTCTTCTGGTAATCTGTTGCTTAAAGTCTTTAAAATATTTTTTTCTAACTTCATCGCTAAAGATATAACCGTTTAAATCACGAAGAATGATAGTAACTAATACAATTAATCCGATTAGCTGATAATTTTCTTAACTGTGGAGCAAGATCGATTATGGGAGTCCTGAGTGGCTTTTCTTGTTCCGGACTTCACCCCGAAACGATAAATGTGTACGCCAGATAAGCACAGTAATTATACTCTGGGCTTGACTGGTGACTGTGATTTATTGTATAATTTAATATACGACGTCTATTGCGTCTATTAAAATTATTTCTGTTGACGCTATTGATCCAGAAACTTTCCTACGGACAAGATCGAAATATTTTCAAGTATTGCTTGCAGATACTTCATTTTTCAAAAATACGTACCGACAAAAATACGTACCATTTCCATAATTAACGACTTTCATCATGGTAATGTAATTTTCTCCTAAGGTATAGTCATTTTTCACTTTCTGATTCGAGTATTCAAGCAAACAACCGGCCAGGTTAATAGTCAAAGGAGAGTAATAATCCCTGGGGAAATAAAACAAAAAAAAAGCGATGACCAAAGGGAGAAAGAAAATATTCAATTTACATAATGTTAATAAATTATATCGCGAGATTGCAGAGGTAACGAAGAAAA